CCAAACTCGTGCGGCAGTATCCCGGAAATGTCCGAAGTGACTCGGATCCGTGGGATAAAAAACTCACGTGGTAGGGTGGCGCTCCCCCATGTTAAATGGGTGTATAATTAGAAATTTTTCGTATCAGTGAATGTATTCGTGTTGTTTTGCGAAAATGTACCCAAAAACTAACGGTCGTAGAAAAAGTATAGTATGCAACACGTTCGGTAAACTTTTTAATTCACTCGTTTATTAAACACTCGCTCCGCTCGTGTCAAATAAATTCGTGAGACAAATGCCGTTTACAGCACTTGCTTCATAATATAATATTTCAGAAGGGAGCAGAAAAAAGTTATTTTCATACGAACCATTTTGAAGGCACCTAAGAGAGCAAGTTTTTTAGAGGGAGCAAGTATTTTATTACGAGTTGTATGTTGTATGTTGTGTTGTATACATTTGGTAAACACTATAAAGTACTTTGTCAAAAAAAAAACAAGCATCACTACACTAAGCAGCTAATGAGGTATGTATATGAAGTGGTAAAGTAGTAAAAAATAATTATAAATAAGTATAATTAAAAATTATTTAATATTTCTGTTGTTGTCCGCACCCAATACGTACCTGTAGATGGGGTGTCACAACCTTGATGATTATCCTTGATCGAGGGTATGGAATTTGCATTCTTAATGAGTTCTATAGCATCGGCTATTTCGGACTATTTCCTATTGTTCCACGAGACTGTGGATGTAACGGATTAGTTCTTGTCTTCTTTAGATTCAGGATCTTGCAAATTTCTTGAAAGAGATTATCGTCAATATTCCTGCCCAACCTAAATTTGCATCCGAGGAGTAGTGAACAATTTCTCTCCACATCGGCTTGTGATTTTCCTTAATCCTACGAATGGTGGTTTTAAGTCGTGGTCGTTTTCTTGTTCTTTTTCGAAGTTTCTGGGTCTATCATCAGTCGTCCATCAGATTGGTTCCTCCTCGAAGTCTCAAGAACTTCGACTTCTGCGCGACGATAATAATTGCGGACAATCTTCTGGGCAGGGTTTTCTTTCAGTTCTGCCCAACTGTCTGAAAATATGTTAATTCTTTTCCTCGCAATTGCTTTCCCATTGAAATATGCCAGGAATATGCCAAAATTGATTGCCTACCATTGAGCGTGATATATACCATACATGTCAATAATATACCTGGATTAAAGAGATTTTTAAGCCTAAGTTGTTGGATAAACCACCTGCTCAAAATGATGTTCAGCAGATATGGGTGACTATCCGGCCAAAAGATAAAAATATATGTCTGAGATCTATTTACAATCCGCCTACAGTTAATTTAAATAGCTCGCTTGCTGACCTAGAGAGTACCTTAATTGAAGTTGTCCCTCAGTTCGATCATGTAATTTTTGGTGGGGATTTTAATGTCAATCTTTTTACTAAAAATAATACGTATACTATCTTTTCAAAGTAACTTGCTAAATTTAGAGTATCATAGGGTATTAACAGAGCCCACAAGGCTTAGTAGTAACACATTATTGATGTTATTTTCTCAACCACCCCTTCTATAATTTCTGAAACACATGTTATAGACATGAGCAATGGATCTGATCATGGTCTTTTGTCATGTAATTTACCAGTGGATAAACCCCGTAATCAAACAAAATTTCGTACTTACCGTACTTACTATCAGAACTTTTTAATTGACCTTTATAATGTGAATTGGTATTTAATCTACGATTTCGCGGATGTAGATGATATGCGAAAAAGCTTAAGCAAAATATAAACGAACTAAAACAGAGGTTGCTAGGGAGGAATACAAAAGAGTACATTTATTCGTAATGAAAAGAGAGCTTATTTAAACCACAAATTTAAACAAGATCCAAAAAGTTTCTGGCAAACGCTGAAATATATAAGGTTGTTCGGAAAGTCATTTCGTTTTTTCCCGTCAGAGGAATTAATTACGTTTTTTCGAAACCAACTTCACACTTAAGCCGCATAACCATTATATGTCTTGAGAGCTGATATTGCAAGGCTTGTGTGTGAAAAAGTTCTATTAATTCTACGCAGTAGTTTTTGGTTGGTGCCCTTTTAAATATGGAGAGCAATAAGCAGCATTTTCGTCATATTTTACTTTTTTACTTCAGAAAAGGTAAAAATGCTGTCCAAGCGAGAAAAAATTGACGGATGTGTATGGAGAAGGCGTGTTAACAGTACGCCAGTGCCAGAACTGGTTTGCAAAATTTCGATCCGGCAATTTTGATGTCGAAGATGCACCACGGTCTGGAAGGCCGGTCGAAGCTGACAAAGATGCGATAAAGGTATTAGTTGATGCAAATCGGCGAATAACCACACGAGAGATCGGTGAGAGATTAAATTTGTCGAATTCGACTGTTTATGGCCATTTGAAAGGCATGGGCTTAACCTCGAAGCTCGATGTGTGGGTGCCCCATGTCCTTACGGAGCGAAATTTGTGTCGTCGCGTTGACGTGTGTGATTCGCTCCTCAAACGTCAAGAAAATGATCCATTTTTGAAGCGGATTATTACTGGGGACGAAAAATGGGTTGTATACAACAATGTTAAACGCAAGAGGTCATGGAGCAGAAAAGATGAACCGGCTCAAAGCGTGTCAAAAGCCAACATTCACCAAAAAAAGGTGATGCTCTCCGTTTGGTGGGATGTCAAAGGAATCGTTTTTTTTTTTAGCTTTTGCCGGACAATACAACGATTAATTCAGAAGTCTATTGTCATCAACTGGACAAATTGAATGATTCACTTAAAGGGAAGAGGCCCGAATTAATCAACAGGAAGGGTGTAGTGTTCCACCAGGATAATGCGAGACCTCACACAAGTTTGGTCACTCGCCAAAAAGTTTTACAGCTTGAATGGGACGTACTGCAACATCCACCATATTCTCCAGATCTGGCGCCTTCCGACTACTATTTGTTCCGGTCCCTGCAAAATTTTTTGGATGGCAAAACCTTTCCCTCAAATGAAGATGTCAAAAACCACCTGAACCAGTTTTTTGCCAGCAAGGACCAAAACTTTTATGAGAGGGGAATTATGTTACTGCCAGAAAGATGGCAAAAGGTATTGGACCAGAATGGCCAATATATAATTTAATAAAATATTTATTCATTATACGAAAACTGTCTTTCATGTTCCCCAAAAAAAACGAAATGACTTTCCGAACAACCCAATACTTATATGTTAATAATAAGCTGAGCTCTACGGCTGATGGTTTCGGTCAATTAGCATATTGTGTTCGTTGTCCAAAATATTAGAGTGGGTCATATATGAACAACTAAAAGTGTACTTGTCCATAAATAGTATTTTACCTCCCACTCAATCAAGTTTCGCTGGGACCAAAGCACTGTTACGGCTCTTGGACTTCCGCAAGGCCTTCGATACGTTAGATCACAGTGTACTTCTCAAAAGGCTTGAGTATTTAGGACCGAGCCATTCAGATCTGCATTTCTTTAAGAGTTGTTTGAAGGGCCGATGCCAGAGGGTACTGCTGGGTGGTAATGTTTCTAGTCTTGTTGCTACTAAGAAAGGAGTACCACAGGGAAGTGTGTTGGGACCGTTATTTTTTTCAGTGTATTCAGCACAGAGTTTTCGTATCAAATTAAATCTTATAAAAATAACGTAGATGATACAAATCGTTATATAAATACAGTATCTCGGTTGTCTTCGGCTCGCGGTCTGCGACTTTAAAGACTTCTTTTTGGCCTCAACTTGGGGTATGAAGACATTGTTTATTGGTCGTATCTTACTTTAAAAAATAAAGGATGTCTTTGAAAAATTTAAAATTCTTGTTTATGTTATTGCCATAACCTCAGGAAATATGATCATATTACTATATAAAACAGTCTAAGTGGTTGAATCTCTCTGAAACGTAATACATAATAGTACATAAAATTGAAAACACTGCCCTCTTTTTTATTTAACAAATTGTTAAAAGGGTCCAACATCAACCAGATCCTTCACTTATAAAGCTATTAAAGTTTATAGTTACTGTTAAAGCCTATCCATCTGCTAAGTCGTTTATGAATAAGTTGAAAGATGTATTGTTAATGAGAGAATGAAATCCTTCATTGAATTGAACATATAGAAAGCAAATAGCCAGACCTGGTTTCCATGACCCTTGTTCTAGTAGTGCCAAATATTCGTCATACAATCCAGGCTACGCAGACTGGCATTGGAAATTGAAATTCTCGAAAAACTCTAGACAAACTTCAAATATGATATATTTAAATGTAGGCACTGAAATTTTATCGTATTTAATTTTTTAAAAATCGTGAATTTGTAATACTGAGCTGATTCTTGTTCGATTGACTGGACTGTATTTTTCGGTAACTTTATTTTTAACTTTTACAACTAACAAAAAAAGGGAAAAAACATATGAAAGTGAATAATGAAGCTTAACGTTTGCTAGCACGGGTTGTAATGCCGAGACCCAGCATCCCTCGGTCTATCTTAAGTGTCGGCAGCGCCGATCCCTTCTTTGCAGGCGACCTTTTTTACGATGCTCGCGATGTTGCCGTTGCTGGGCAGTTTTGAAGATTGTCCAATACAAATTAAATAAATTATTGTCCAAAAACTCTGTCCATGCAATAAAAATTAAAACAATATAAAACAATAAAAAATCTATCATTCCCTACAAAATATAATGTTTTATTATATTTTCTGAATGTTATACATCTGATCCAATTATCTTTGGCAACTGTCTGGAGAGCTGCTGCCTTTCAGATACTACTGCAGTATCATCATGCCTTGCCTCACTAACAATACTTGTATCAAAAAAAATTTCGTGTGTAGCATAGTGCATAATTTTTGACAATTTTTAACAACTCACATTTTAGACCATTTTCTGGGTAATTAATCCTCTTACTGCACACCCAAAAATACCTATTTCCCTAAAATCTGGGTCCTGAATTTTGAAATACTGCATATATAAACCAGTCTACCACCAAATGCAATAAATTAATAGTTTTACATTTATATTCCTATTTTGCTGGATTTCATAGAAATTGAAACAAACTAGTAAGTTTATAAGTAGATTTATTCAGTTAAAAATTTACACTATTAATTTTTAAATATGTTGCAGAAAATTCTTTTAATTAGGCACCTATTTTATATTTCTACTCGCACTTATTTACCTAAATAATATAGTTTTTGAAAATCAGAAGGGAATAAGATCTTATCTTCAGTAATGTTCAAACACATTTGGAATTAAATTATTTTAAGTTGATTCAGCTTTTTAAGAAAATTAATTCCAAATCTCCATTTTTGCCTTTTTTTAAACACACATCTATAGGAATACATTTGACTATTTTTGTTTTGATTGAGCACCTATATGGATTGCTCATAACCACTATTAATGATTGAATTAAATAATAAAATGTAAATATTTGCATAATTAAAGGTATCTATTTATGTCAGACACACAAAAAAAACAAGTCAAAGAACATAAACACAACTAGACCATAATTATTTCCTAATAAGTTACATGATCATTAACAGGGCTTGCTAATAAATACCTCGGAATAAAAGTCACATATATCCAGGAGAACAACATAATTCCTTTAACAGCAGTTTTACCACTAAAAAAGACATAAGGGAAATACGTTCAGCCTCCATCCATTACAATCTTTTTCCCAAAATCAAAAGTTAAATATAGCTATCAAAAAAAATTTAAAATAGGTAAAAAATCAAAAATAAAATTTGTTATGGACCTATATACTGTAGAACAATCTATCAAAAGCCTACATTTCTAACCAAAAGTAACCATTTTTCAGTTAATGCAACCAATGACATCCATCAGCAATGAAAAAAGTCATAGGAAAAGCACACATTTCTACATTATTAACGAAATGCAACATATTATGTTTAGTGCAGACAGTCTTACAATCACAAGAAAATTTTAATATTTATTTTTCGCAACAGGGGAATGAGACCTAGAACGAGATTTGCAAATCTTATCATCAGGTGCAGCAACATCTCCAAAATCTGACAGGTCATACTTTGACAAATCACCATCTTCCTCATCCTCATCCTCTTCTTCTTCAACTTCTTCCTCTTTCTCTTCCACATCGCTGTCTTCCTGGTAACTACCACCCTTCGCATTATCTTTACTAGTTTTCCTCTTCCTTCTCCTTCCAAACTCATCGAACTCATCGTCAGAATCGACCCGCTCCTTGTATTCGACGACTCCCCTATCATTGTAACCCCCACCAAAGCCAGTTCTTTCCTCTACTTCGCCAAATTTTGGAGCGTTGCATACATTACATTGCTGGCGACGAGCCCAATTAACGTTTCCACACTTACTGCACTGCCAATCGTCTGCGCTGAAGAGCCCCCTACTTTTCTCTGCAGCAGCTTTACCTATCTCGGTACCGAGTTTTTGCTTTTTCGCTGCACTAGGCGCTTTACCTTTATTGCATCTATTGCAACTACTTCGGCGAGCAAAATTTAAATTTCCACATTCATCACAAGTCCAGTCGCCATCATTTGCGAGCGACGATTTGGTACTTGGAGGAGACGGTGGCGAAATTTTGGGTTCAGCCATTGGTTTTACCTATAAGAAAAACCTATATTTTAGCGAAGTCCAAACAAGGGCTCTCCTAAGCAAATATGAGTTGACAAAAGAACGATACTACAACACGAAAAACAATCCTATGATGAAAAAATCAATTTGATACTCCCTTTAGCAGCACTTTATACCCTTACTAACCCTATAAAACTAAATATAACACAAAAATTAAAACAGCAAATAAAACAGCCCAACAACCACCATAGGCAACTACCATCGACAACACAACATAATAACTTCCTAACAGTCTGTGCCATTTATATTCTTCTTCTTCTTTTACTTTTCACATCAAAAAGGGCATGGCCATTTTATAGAAAATCAAACACCACGAACGACATTACACACGATATCAACATGGGTCAATAATTTACTTCATAACTGATTACTAATTAAATTACCAAAACTAAAATCTATATTCTGTAAATAAATCTTTACGATCATTCTCTTACTTTTTCATTATTCCAAAATATTCTACAATGATTCGGTCACAGCGAATTGGTTATCGGTTAGTTGTGTGACTAATATCAGTAATCAACACAAAAATCCGTTAAATCGACCGATTTAGTTTTAGCTTATTTCAAAATACGTTCAAAGAAGTTAGTTACTTTTTCCACAGCTTCCGTGTTCGCCAGATTGCGTACAACGCAAAAGGGGATGTGTGACGTATTAACAACATTTTCTAATAGTTGCATTGCAATTCTGCAATAGAGATTTACCTTTAATAAAAACTTATTCTATTGAAAGCCAAAATAACTATCAAAACGCTAAATTTGATTATATATACTGAAATAACGCATAATAGATAAGATGGTAAGGAACACCGTCTGTTTACTTTTGAGGGGTTGGTGAAACTGTAAAACGACAAACTAACCTTCTTTAATTGAACTTGCGATTGAACTGCTTGCGATTTGTTTGTTTCTGTTGATTCAAAGAATTATGTCAAAAGCGCACCCTCCCGAACTCAAAAAGTAAGATCATCCTAGATTTTAAGTACTGCTAAAAATAATTTCTAAATCATTAGGTTTATGGACAAAAAGTTGTCGCTTAAACTGAATGGAGGCAGGCAAGTCACAGGGATTCTAAGAGGGTTTGATCCATTTATGAATCTAGTTGTGGACGAAAGCATCGAAGAGTGTAAAGATGGAACTAAAAATAATATAGGAATGGTGGTAAGTTTAAATAATTTTAATTTTAATAATTATGGGTTCATAATGTGTTCCACTGCAAAAGAAATGCAAATGCAAGAAAAAGAAAAATATATTGTTTTCAAGTTGTGAATGAGCTGAATATTTTCCGCCCATGTTGACAGTGTTGACTAGTACTTTATTTAAAAGAGTATTAAAGCCTCTTTTCAACACTGTATCAATTTTAAATATTTTATTTAAAATTGCAGCTAGAAGTGAGAAATAAAACATCCTCAAAAATAGGATCAAACAACCTTTAATGTAAAAAAAGTAAAAAGTTTTTGCTTTAGTGCCAGAATACAGATTTTGCTCAAGACTTTGACAAACATTTTTCATTTCATTTTCAGCTCTCAGTTGTCTTCTTCAGATTCCATTTTTTAAATGAAAATTAATTTTTAAGTTTTTAGGCGCAATTTTGAACAACATTTCAAATGAGGCTTCTCATTCCATTTAATCATATTTTGTTTTTAAAATAAAAAGTGATTTTAAATGGCCTTGTTTCATTTTTGCTGCGACACTATCTAAAATATGAAAATTTATTATTACAATTAGTTACAAAATAAAACCACTATTTGTTCTAATATATAGTGTTTATTTCTCTATTTTAACATTGGAATCGGGACAGGAACAAAGAGACTGTTGTAAAGCTGAAGTAGCTGGGTGGAATGAAACTTTAAGCCACATGTTTTTGTAACAATTTGTTTATGAAAATAGCTAAAAATCAAATAAATAATTCGCAAAGGTTAAAAGTCTGTACTTGTTTGGACCTCTATTGTCCACAATAATTCTTTTTTTAATAGCCAAAGTAACATTGTTTCTAGTAAAGTAATAGACAAAATGCCCTCCTTATTTATTTTTACTTGTTTAAAAACCGCCAATTAACCAAGACAATTGAAAAAACAAAAAATAACATAAATATGTAATCGAAAATGTTAAAAAGAAAACAAATGGACAGTCATTGACTTACTGGTCGGCCCGAAATTTCATTGTGAATGCCATCGTTGAAACGTATTTGCTTAGGCCGGGACTATACAATGCGTTTTGCGGGAAATCTTGAGGCTATACATATTGCGGTAGAACGGGAGATACATTTTCAAAAATGAAAATTATTTGCACTCTGTGGATTTGCTTGGACAGCCAGCTCCTCAATTTTCGTTTAGCCGAAATTATTTACGTAAATAAGGATTGCACTTTTAAAATATCATATCATAAAATCACAAATATTTTTTTCGGACGTATATCATTTCAATTTTCCAACCTTTAGAATAGTCAAAATCAATTGTTACATTAAAACTGATGTTTGCTCTGAAATCTAAGTGCTGGGGAAATACACAATTTTCGTCTTATGAAAAAATTTTAATGACTTTAAATTAAGCGAAATCTAAATATAATGTCTCATATAAATGTCTGTGTTGTTGTCTTTCAAATCCCGCTGTCCCGTATTCCCGTTCGACGCTAGCATGCTTTGGTCACATTTCGTCGATGCTAACAGTATAAAGAGCCCTATTCAAAACCCTCTATTGGACCTGTCCCTCAAAACGCATTGTACAGTTCCAGACTTAGTGCTACGTGCTGCAGTTCACCTGGCCAAAAATTTCCAAAATTTAAGAAGTTATGCCCCTATGCAGAAAGTGCCACATTTTATGACGTCATTAGAGCTATATAGCATCATAACAGAACTTAATATGCAGCCATGTGTTTGTTGAGTGATGTTTTAAATAATTTAAAATCAAACAATATAAAAATAGGTTTGGCAAATCAGATTTCAATAATTTAGATACTTATGTCAATTACATGTAATATTTAATAATGAATATATTTTTTTTAGGTGATCAGGGGTAACAGCATTGTAATGTTGGAAGCCTTGGATCGGATCTAGATTTAAGCAAAAGTTTTGTATTTTTTTTGTGAATAATTTAGTAATAAAATTACATCAATAGATTCCTACTTTGTGTTTAGATATGCAGTATATTTTATCTAAAACTGATTTCATATTAAAATTTCAGTCCTCGTTAATAAATCTGTCCTGTAGCAAGACAGTGCGGATATCTTGAGTAAAACAAGATTACACGCAAATTGCACACTTTTTGACATTACAGGAACACTGCACAATAGATGTCAACAGAATTTCAAGTACGCGCCATTATTACAGACCTGCATCAATTGGGGGCAACATGGTCTGCCAACTACTCCCAGTGAAAACACATAAACACTGGGTTCAACAATTGAAAAAAAAAAACAATTAAGAATTTAATTATAATTCTAACTACTTCATAAGAAAAGGTATGACCATTCCTAAAACGTGAAAAATTAAAAAAGAATATAAATTACCAAATGGCAATATTATACGACTAGTATGCAAGTCCATTTATTGAATATTTTTTATATGTTGGGTTTTTTTGTTGGTTGGCTATATGAGTTTACAGCCCCTTCTTTGTATAGTCGGCTTGTCAGTCGGAATCCCGGTCAGTTGTACGTCGGCTTTGTAAGTGTCATTTGAGCCGCTTAGAGAAAAGGTGGATTAAATCATTTTATCATCATCATTAGTTCAGTAAACGACTTCCTACTTAAGTGGTATTTTATAAGAGTTCACTTCTATATACGTTCTTCTAACTAAACAGTACTCAGGATGCGTTTGTGGATTCGTTTAAATAGATAAGCGAGTTGCTGGTATTGCTCTGGACGGCTCATTTATTAAAATTGTTGAAAACTGCTTACGCACTCAACAAATTCCTGAGCATCGGCGACAATACGTTTTTGAAAAAAAAATTGCATAATGACTTTTAAGTTTCAGTAAAAATACTTTATTAGTGGAAACATGTTCACTGTAGAAATTAAAATCGTTTTTATAGATTTAGTTTTCAGGACTGAATTATTTTTCAGATGCCTTTAGCTTTTACTAGTTACAGGTGTGTCTGCCGAGAAACGCAGTATATGTAAATCTCTTAACCCAGCACCTAAAATTTCAATGGCCGAGTTTTATTCAGATTTAAAATATTTTTAAATTTGCTTATAAAAGGAATGTATTGGTAATGTTTTGTGTGGCACTGTTTAAAGTAATAATAAATTTGCTTAAAAAAATACAATTTTGTTATGACGTATATGTGACTGATAATAAGACATGAAAATAATTTAATATTCTACGATTAACATTAAACAAGTCTTAACTAATAGTCATATTATCCTTACTGTAGGGTGTGGTCTAAACTGAGGATCTATAAGAGATATAACGTCAGCTAAATGGAAGGAAGATGGTATACTTCAGGCAATAGTAAAATGCCGCTGAGAGATGTCAATAACAAATTCGGCCACTTCTGGAAGTTAAAAAAAAAAAAAAAATAAAGTAACATCTTGCCGCCACACTTTCAGGAAGTTTGTAGTTTGTTTATTTAACCTAAGTAAATATAGTGTATCTTTTATAGTGAGAAATCAAGTTAATTTTCCAAAAAACAATTAATAAAATAGAACTAAGAAAAAAGTTGTGGCATAAAATAGTCCCATTATTGAGGTGTAACTAGCGACCTCAGAATGTTATATGGAAAAATAGAATGTAATTGTATTCCTCGTCGGCAAAAACCCCCGAATCCAAGTTTTCATTTCCAGATTTTAAAAATAGCTTGAACTATAAAGAAATTCAAATTTCGAGAACTAAACTTTAACAACTTGTATCTTTCTGATGAACGACATTTTACTAATGCTATCTCTTGCCTTTTTACGCATATCAAAACACATTAATTCATTTGGAAAAAAGCACGTTAGATTTAAGAATACGTCAAAGAAACCTTCAATAAATTATACCTAAAAATTGATACGACTTAATTCAGCACACAACACTCTGGAACGTGATTTTTGAAGATAAGCTGATCTCATTTGAACACGAAAATTTAATGATTGCTATTGCTTATAAGCTGACTAGAAAACTGCGCGTTAATTACAAATTTCATGAATTTAGAATATTTGGGGCAATTACACAAAGATGAAACCACCAAATCAAAAATATCAATAACAATTTTGTATTCTACCCATTTTCGAATAACTCATTTTCCTAGAAACAGAGTGCAGTTTCTGGGAACTCCGCATGCGTCAATTTTCCGGACACTGCCGGGAGCTCCGTGGGATGCCTCTCGCCAGTTTTCACAGTCCGGAGTTTCGCTTAAATCGAAACACTCCGCGTTTTCCGATACTTTTCCGGTCTCAAACTAAAAGTTGAAGTTCATTCAATTATTGGGGGTAAGTGAATCGCATATTTCCGCATATAATATAATATTTGCTTGAGTAGTGGCATGGAAAATATTGAATTATTTTATATTATTCTCGCCATTACACTGTTTATGTTTTTGTTTATTATTTCTTATTTATTGACATTGGTTCAAGTGTTTGATACCAAGTGACCGTATTTTCTTCGCCCTATTTTTTTTCTAACTCCACATTTTGTATTCTTTTTTATACCATATTTTTAACGAACATAAAGTTATTTACATTACCGCCCCTTGAAAATAAAACCAATTACTGCTAAATATGCACTTTTTAATAAAACAAAAGATTGGTTTCTAAGTATTCTAACATCCACTGTCGGTTTAACTGTATGGTTTCAGATAGAACAAAAATAAAATTTGGGGCCTTCGGTCCCTATAATTTAAAATCGATGATTTAGACACGCAAGAGACTTTGGTCTGTTTAAGTCAAAAGCTTTTTCACTTATAAAAAATAAAACTCACTGATACTTTGCATATAGAAAATCAAGATACCTGTGCCCGAAAAGTTCAAGCTCACCACTGATATCTGGCAAACCACAAAAACCAAACAAAGAAAACTAAAAGTTTTTGTTTAACTGAATATAGTAGATTATATTATTTGACTTTGTGCTGGCGTAACGACACAAACGTGTGTCACCTATTCAAAAGTTTAACTACAGTTTATTGTGTGTGTTTGTTACTTCACAAACGCGTACAAAGTTTGACAAAATAAATGTTCGGGAACTTAATGCAAATGATTGTTATCAGTATGCTGAAAAGTTGTTGCTCGTGTGGCTGAAAGCTGCATTTTAGTCAAGAACATAGCACAGATATAAAAACACTGGTTTGGTGTCATATTTTTATGCTGTAAAAAAAAGAATTTCCATTGGATAATACTACCTCTACACAAATTAAAACTGAAATCACGCTGGCAAAAAAATGTAAACTCTACATTGCATTGAAATCGTTGATACGACATTTAATTTAATTCACAATGGCGACGGTCCCATAAGCAGAATACGCTAACTGCGTGTTGAATGGTTAAACTGTTTATAGAGCAACCAAAAATTTCATTTTTGTCACTGGACGATATTTTGGTTAATTTAGTAGTTGCCCAAAATTTTGGAGCCGTTAAAACAAACGAGAAGATTATTATATATTTTCCATCGGATATTGGAGAACAATTTTTTTTTATGAAAAACTTCAGGTTTATCCGTATGTACGCTAATGGTTATGCTAAACAATACTGTTTCTCGAAATCTAAGCATTTGTTAAGCAATACTTATAATTTTCTTTTCTGGATTTTCAAAACAGAGATTGTTGAAGTCTTGTTTTATTAATCCGACATGCCAAGATTTTAAAAGTGCGAGTTCACCATGTTATCTCGTAAACTACTATAGTCAAGCAAATCACGGAATCAGTTAATCCTCATTTTAAGGTTATTAAGAAAACGAACCTAAAATTACTCAACTTTTTCCGAGAGTCCTAACAAAATTTATGAACTGTCAAATAACTATTATTAGACTTAACAGCTTACAACTTTACTAATCCATGCCTGTCTCAAAAGTGAGAGTGATTTGAAGAAGTTCTCTCACAGCGTCAGTTTTTTTTAGTGATTTGGTCAATGTATTTTCTGACTACAAGGAGATATTTATTCTCTAATAAAACATCAAAAAATGTGTTTTCGAAAAACGAACTAGCCTGTTATTTCACATCATATGATTAATTAAAAAAAATAAGGTCGTTTTAATTAATACCTAAAGTGGAAGTTTGCTGTACTCCTTTAATATAAGAACCCCACTGATGCTACCTTTCTACCTATATAACGTCAGTTTTAGAGACGCTTCAGTATTTGAATTATCGATTTTCGGAACTTTATCTGAAAGGAAATTTTACCCTGTCTAAGAGAACATTTGAAATTTAATTAATATCAAATTGAATTTCTCCAGGAAGGGATATAATAAACCTGAACTGCTTTAAAAAGGTTCAGCAACTTAAATTATCATAATTAACTCAAATTTGAAATGGGTAATTTTATGGGGATATAAAACCGAGGTAGTAATAACATAACTAATTTTACCTCTTGTTGATTTAAGAGCTTCTTGAGGATATCTTTGGTCCGTATTTATATTAGCGTATTTATCGATCTACCAACTGATTTTCTTATTAATTTGGAATTAAATTATTTAATGGAAACAACTTAACTGGCAATACCTGGTGATGTTTCTAGGTTCGTTTTAGGTATTACAAAACCAATCGACAGAACCCAATTTTAGTAACTGGGTCCCGCAGTAGTTATTTATTATTGTTTATCTACAGTCCAGCAGTTGAAAATTGTGAATTTGAAAAATATTTTGAACATTATTGTTACTTCCCAAATCAACTTTAAGTGCTTTGCTTCTCTTTGAAACAAGTTTCACACACTTAATTTACCAAACCTTTAAATCTTGCCTCAGCTTTCTTATGAAACTCTTAAGAAGGGGCGAGAGTCGTCTCCCGATACTGTGTTTTGATTGCTAGCTATTTCTGATCAATAACACAAGGCACACAAAATTGAATTGGGTATGTCAGATTAGAGAGCTGTTTCATGAGTTGGGTTATGGTGAGTTGTGGGGCAATCCATCATAAATCAATCTAAGATTGCACAAGATTGACATCTTAGAATGTTTTAAAACAAAACTTTTTGAACATTGCAGCCGTTTCACAATACACGAATTTTTACTCAGAGTTTGCACTCTCCGATCGGCCACCCAGCAATTTAAATTGCCAATTGCCAAAGTTCGTTTTAAGAATTATCGCACAAGATAACATTTCGCTCCGTATGTAATACTAAACAATTTGAATCAATTTACCACCTTCACTTGCCCGATGTGTAATGCTCTCATACCGTGGAGTTTTCCGATAACAATACGTTTATTACCGCTTTAAAAAAAATTGGACTCTGGTGGGTCAAAACGTCTCGCTTATCTTAGTATAAATACTCGCGCGTTTCTAAGAAATGAGTAAAAGTAAAACTATAATTTGTATCTGTCTATTTGAAATCACATGCTGATGATTAGTTTACTAATTTGTTTTCTTTAGGTTTACGTCATGTCTGATGCGGATTTCTTGTTTTAGAAATATAATTTCTGATAAACAATTAATAATAAATAATAATAATAAAAATAATAGTTATTTCGTGCTTCCACTTTCTTGTGTCACCCGGTATACTTGCCTAACTCAGGTGGAGGTCACTATTCTAAGATTTCAAATTTTATTTTTAATTTAACTGTTCTTCACCCACATCACATATTCCGCATATTGAGTGGCGCCCGCAATATGTTCATAACAAACACGCTGTAAAAGGTTTTTGGGCATCTGTTTGGAACTCAATGATTAACCGAATGTAAGGTCGAAGTATAGAGCTCCAAGACGGCTGTTAAACGTCTCACTTTACCTCATAGCCTTCAACCATTTTTCATATCTTTTTATATGAAAAAGTTAACGGGGGTGTTTTCAATTTCTCCCTCGTCGGCGGGGCTTTTCTATTGTCATCAATCACGATCTATAAACTATATAAAGATCTAAGCGGGAAAAGTTAACGGATGAAACCACATGCGCGCTATAGGAAATGATCCGAATTGCACAATACGTTTGCAATGAATTTCATTTAATACGTTGTTGTAATTGAGAGGAGATGTTAACATATACATTACCACATAATAAGATTAAAAAAAATCGAGACGTAATTTTTACGAGCGGCATTTCGAAGCAATTTCAAATAAACAAATTATCGCTTTTTATGTGATATATTGTTAAACAGGGCGAGACAGTTTTTTTGTAGTAGCGATTTTTTTTTATTGCTCTATTTAGGATTAAGATGTAAGGTTTATATTCTGGGGCGGTGAACAATGTCCGTCAGAAGTTTCTTAAAAGAAACACTTGCAATTGATTTTCCTCTTGGAGTAGTCCAACCGATCCGATAGTCGCACAGGATGTCGTTGCCATGCTACATTGAAAATTTTGGCGGGGAGCCTTGGTTGCAACCTATTTATGCATTGCAACCCCCTATCAATGAGTTATTTGGCACATATTAGATCTTGATCTGACGACATTTTTTTTGACGGGGAGACAGTGACGTCTTCCATTGGCTGGACTGTTGCTTCGTTCGTTGACAAATATTGCAAACCATTGAAGGAAGTCTTCACATTGTATATCAACTCCTAGACAACCTATGGCAATACTCAACAGCCCAACGATATACGTTTTATTCGCTCAAACATGTACCGTCCACTATAACTATCCATGAAAACGATTGAGACTAATTTTGATGACGACGAAGTGCAGATATGTCAACAACGTTAGTAATTTCGAGTAACGAAAATATTTTCTTTTTTAACAAAAATTGCCATAGGGTACCTTTTTCTTATTACGGAAGATTAACCTTTTGCTTCCACAATTAAACTGTTAGTGATTAACACAACTGAGAAAATGTTATGAAAAAATCATTTCAGAGTATCCAGTTTGAATAAAACGTTCAAAACTTCGAATTGATGAACTGTCAGCGGCCTGATTAGTTGTGAAACGTCGCTAGATTTTATTGGTTCAAAAAGAGATCTGAAAGGACATGTCATATTGAACATTTTTTTCATGGTGGCTTCGAAGGTTCTGGTATTACAAGTATAGGTACAGCTCCTTTACATATCTGGTAGCTAAATGGTTTTAATCGATATTTTATATCTGTATTCTATTTAGCACATTTTTTTTATTTCTCAGAAGTAGACAAACACAAATCAATTCAAGATATGATATTAATCATAAGAAAACAAAGATAAATTGTTTACTTTATTAGGGATCACTTTGTTCCACCTAGAATTATAAGGGACTTTTGATAAGATCACAATTCTTGTTAATATTTTTTCCCTAAGTCCTTCGATCGAATCCATACCAGTACTTTGAAACAAACTGACAAATTAACATTTTATCAGTATTACATTACGGTTACATACAATTCTT